ATGGCAACGAAAACTGTGACACGAGAATTTTATATATTAGATTATTTTTGAGTTGTCTTTTACGTAGCATGACGTCATTAACCATATGGATGTCACACTCATTATGAACTCACACGATTGCGCAAAAAAGTGGCACGTATTGTGAGGCGGCAGAGACTGATAACCATTTTGTCTCTTGAAGATTTCGACCGTTATTCCTATCCAGTTGACCTTATCTAAGATTCCTTACTGATCTTATTTAACGTAGCTTACAGCATCACAACATAAATGGCACTGCTCATCTTGTGACATGAGTTCCAAGTCTCAATTGTATTTGCGAACGGCTGGCCCATCCCCCAAATCGGACGTACGATGCAACAAAACAAAATATTCATCAATATTTAAAATACAGTGCACTGAATGATATTTCAAAACGGAATTTTTAAGTAGCATTCGCCAGAGTGCTCCGAAACGTTGCGCTCTAGAGTCGCAAGCCGAGAGATCTCCCGAAATACATACAACGGCCCGAAGTTCTTTTCGTGCTTTTGTTGCCGTATATACATATTTCATTTTGTAAAAGCAAAAGGAAATTACCGGAAAACGTTTTTTTTTTTTTGTGTTTCGCTCTGTTGCAACGGTAAATTATTGTAAGTCAAGCGAAAGTGTGACTTGGAATATTACAGTTAACAGTTTGATGACATGCATATATGTACTATTGTTATGCATGCGCAAGGAAGTTATGCATCCCAATATGTATCAGGTACAATAGCTATTATTTCAACGCAAATGAGACTATGACTACTACACCTCGGGGAATTCATGTCACTTAAATTTAGAGGGGCTTATCTGCTTATCAATGAAAAACGACAGGTATAAACATTATGATATTAGATGAGGGATCGTATTGTGACGCCCGGAGTTTATTTGACTGTCATGTCAACTGACAAGATCAGTACTGAACGATAGCGTTCTGTAGAAATTTGGGTCGAGCAAACAATAGTCAGGAGTTTGAATATTATGGCTAATTCTTTTTTATATATTTATTGTTGTTTGTGCTGAAAATATACTTTGGAGGGTAACATTATTGAAGTGTGATTGATTATTGGCTGGAAATTGAGCTTGATAAAAAAATGTGAAGTCTAGAAACATAAATTCGTAATAGCTTTGGCTGAACAAGGACGTGGTATAATTATTTACTACTACTTTAATTATCGCTAGCCGTGAAGCAGTAATGCGTTTCGGTTTGAAGAGTGGGGCACCCGTTGTAACTATACTGAGACTTTAGAACTCACCTCTCAAGGTGGGTGACGACATTTATGTTACAGATATCTATGTAGCTACGATAACTTAACACCAGGCGTGAGTTCGTCCACCCATTTTAGTAATAAAAAAAACTTGAAGTATCAAGTTGGTGGGTCACAAGTTGTGTTATCTATGGACTCCGGTACCAGCGTACACTAAGTAATTTGCGAGTTTAATGTCCATGCAATGTGATACAACCATATTTGGGCATTAGTTAATATTTCGATGACACTATTTTAGTCAATAGTGTGCTTAATGCGAGTTTTTAACGATCTCGATAGCGTAAAAGTTAACGTTTGCCTACGTTTGCCGCTAGGGGCGCTGTTTCTCCCTACAAATTAGAGTTAACTTTTTCACTATTCGAGAACGTTAAAAACTCGCAGTAAGCACACAGGATCCAAAGTCTACGCAAAATGCTACATTAGTTCTGCAATTAACTAAACGAGGTTCGGAGGAATATCATCCGAGGACAAATACCACCACCAAGTACTACTTAAGCTATGAATAACATTTACAAACGGCTGGGACGAAACAAAAAGCTTTTACCGCATTTTCATTGTAGTTTAAAATATTGCTTTTTCATTCCAGAAGCTGAGATGTTAAGTAGTCCGACAAATAGCTAACGAAAAGTGGCAAAAAGATTTTATAAACGACTGAACTAAATCTGTTGAAAATATATAAGGAACAGAGTTGCATTCAATGGGGGTTACGGGGGTTGTTATAAATTTAGGAAGAATTTATGTGAAACATAGTGATTGGATGAGCTTTTGTAACCACTGTGATGTCGTTATCACAATATCAAATTCTAACTTCAACAAAAAGACTTGTAGTAATGAAAATGATAAGGGAATATATTTGGTTTTATATAAAAAAAGTGTAGTTCTTAGTAGATTTAATAGTATTTTGTACTAAGTCTCAATTCTATAATTTATGGATGACCCATCAAATCGAAACACATGATCGATTCGCGGTAAAAATAGACTTAATGGTGTGGTACCTATTAATGCGACCTCACAATTCTTTTACTTTTTAGTAACTTATTGATCGTACAAGTCTCCCTCGGTTCTTTTCATAATGAGTGTAAAATCCACATTGTCGATGACGTCATTTTACCGAAAAGCAACTCCAAAAGGCTTCAAGTCCCCCTTGACTAGGTCGAGTACGTCCCGTGATTTGGTGTAAAAAAAAAGTCCATGAAACACGCTCCTAATCTCACGACACATGACCACAAGCCGCAAAAGACGCATTGCCAAGGATTATTTTTATTTCAACTTCGGAAACGGAGAATTGTTTTTTTATTTATATTGTTCAGCCATTATTTCGGCGAATTGGGTGAAACGGTTTTTAAGCTGTCGTGACTTATTTTTATCGTGACTTGGTTGCTTTAATGACCGATCGCTAGTAAAATAAATAACAAGTTAATTGCTGACAGGCTGCCGTCCTTGAGCTTTCATTCTAGACGATTATTGTACAGATTATTATGTAATACAATAACCCGTTTCTTGCATGAAGGAGACAAGTGCAGTGTTCGACACCATCCTAATACAACTTTCAGAATCTTCGGCTATTCTCATAAAGCTCAAGCTTTGAAAGCTGCTGCATCGTGGAAAACCCTGTGCATTAAAAAACAACAATGACGGTTTCAAATTGCAATATTATGTAGAACCAGTGCGTTCATCGACAGTGCGTTTCTAGATGATTTTTGTCCTTCATCATCTGTCTTTGGAATGTACTCCCCATGTTGTTTCATGAGCGCTATGACAAGTCCTTCTTCAAACGAGGTTCCTGAGAGTATTAGCAATAGACAGCGGTTCGGTTGTGCCTTTAGCATTGCTGACATCTATGACGGATGACTTCTGACGATGATCAGACTCGTGTGCCTAAAAGGGCAGTAACAAAATCCCGATTTTTCTAATCTTAATGCTTTTGTAAAGTTAGTAATTATTGATAACGAATTATTATTTATTTATTGAAGCCGCTGTACTGTGACATCTGTTCTTAAATCTGTATCTATATATATATATATATATATATCTATATATATAAAAATGAATTGCTGTTCGTTAATCTCGCTAAAACTCGAGAACGGCTGGACCGATTTGGCTAATTTTGGTCTTGAATTATTTGTGGAAGTCCAGAGAAGGTTTGAAAGGTAGATAAATATGAAAATGCTCGGAATGAAATAAAAATAACAATTTTGTTGTTTTTCCTTTGACGTGTCCCCCGTCGGACAGATTCTTTGGTTTGTCTTAAGTTTATTTTATACAAAAGTTTAGGTCTTTTATTTGTCGATTGAGGCACTACGAAGTCTGCCGGGTCAGCTAGTAAACTAATAAAATACTTTCTATGGTTGGTGATGTGATAAAGGTCAGAAGAATCACTTTAAGAGCAAGCTTTAAATAGTACAGTTGCATGAAAACAAATTTTGGATCGAAATGAGGTATGCGAACCGAAATAATATTATTATCAAATGTATAAATAGGTATGAGATTAAACTGTAAATTGTCCTGGTTCTGTTTCGAAGTAACCACAAGATACAATACGAAAAGCGGGGCGGACTTGGATAATTTATTTTCCTGAGCGCCAATACTTATCTCTTTACAAAGCATTGTCGTAATTCTAATAATTCAACCGGTTTGATATCGACCACAGAAGCCAATAAAACTTTTATTCATAATGGAAAGTGGGTAATGCCTTCACTCAGTCGAAATGCAAAGGTTACCTAAAAATAAACATTCAGAGCCAAGATCCGGGGGTGGACTACGCAAGCGCGGCTTTCTACCGGCCGCCTTCAAACATTCGGGCTGTCGCGACTAAAAATATTCACGGAATTTACTGGGATTAAAGGATTTTTTTGATACCGTAGATTCGTTCTTAACAAAGTGTAGGTTTTGCGAACACGCAAAATTATAATTTGTGTCATTACTGGTGGTAGGACCTCTTGTGAGTCCGCGCGGGTAAATACCACCATCCTGCCTATTTCTGCCGTGAACCAGTTAGGCGTTTCGGTTTGAAGGGTGGGGCAGCCGTTGTAACTATACTTGAGATCTTAGAACTTATATCTCAAGGTGGGTGGCGCATTTACGTTGTAGATGTATATGGGCTCCAGTAACCACTTAACACCAGGTGGGCTGTGAGCTCGTCCAGCTATCTAAGCAAAAAACATAATTAATAATAACAAAAATAATTGAAAAATCTTTATTATTGTATAAGGAATGTACATAAAGATATATCGGCATTTTATTCTATAGTTTTTAATGTCTTCAGATATACACAGAACGTCATTGATTTAGATACTTTACAGGAAACCCACATGGAGATATAATTATGAATTTATCGTCGTGAAGATTCTACTTTACCGTGTGTTCCACAGCGTTTTATTGTGAAGAACATTTCCAGTTTAATCATTTTCAACTATTCTACGCCGGAACTTAACCAAGTCTCTTAGGATTAACCAAAATAAAACTAAAATACTGTTCCAGAATATTTAAATACCAATTTAAATTTTTAAGCCTAGCAACACAAAACACCGACGAATGTTATCATTTTGACATTTGAATTCAGTTTCAATCCGGTTCGCGTGGGGCCCGGTCGTGTCGTTACAGTCTGAAAAATACGCGAACTCCCGCGTGTTTAATTGAAATAGTAAGTCACGTGCTTTTTAACCGAAATGTGAAGTGTATGTATGAGTTTCGCATGGATGTTTTGTTTCGTAAAAATGTGGTTTAAGTGCTAATAATTGTGGATTTCAATTAGTTAAAATGCTGTTGATCATTCTGAGTGTGTTCATTGGTGAGTTTAATTTAATTGTAAGACATTTAATGATAACGGTGACCACGAGAATGTTTCAGTCCACGGATACCTTAAGTTTACAACTTAATCTTGTTATTTGTTGGCCGGAACAGATAAATTTTTGAATAAAAAATTTTTGAATATTTTTTTTATAATTAGTACATTTTTGGTGTTTTTAAATGACTAGTCGCAATATTTCCAAATAGAGCCCATTGAGGCTAAATAAGTGAATAAAATTTTAGATTAAAGCCATAAAGTGGTAAATAGTTTGAAAATAAATATAATTAATGGATCTAGTCCGTCTGGTGTTAAGTAGCTAGCGTAGCCCATAGACATCATGAAGCCTATACCACCTCCACTTTGAGACATGAGGTCGAAATTTCAATTGTATTATGTAACGGCCTACCCTTCATCCGAAATTCACGACTGTTTCGACTGCCGGCAGTAACAGCAGGATAGAGGCATCTACGTTTCCTGGTTTACAATATGCTCTACCAGTTAATGCTAGTTGAAGATAGCTGAAGATCGTACTGTGCAAATTAGTAAGATAACACCGCTTTTTTTCCTACCTAAGCTGATAGCCTCGAGAGGCTATTTCAGCGTAACCTTAACTAGTAGGTGAGCTCTAACTCACGGGGCTCAAACCGGAGTGTTGCTAACACTGACCCTAGCAAGAGCAGTGCTTCGCAGAATCTACCACCGGATCGGAAATGCGACCCACCGAGAAGATCCGGCGAGAAGCTCAGTGGGCTGTGTCTATGTTGCATATTCTCCGGTGAGCTGCTTAAGCCCCTTTCACAGTAGACACAGGAAGTGATGAACTGATGGTATTCCAGGCAGACGTCATAAAGCTAACAGATTTTATACAAACGCGCGTGTTCCGTAGATAATCATTTTTGTTTATATGGGTGGACGAGCTCACAGCCCACCTGGTGTAAAATGGTTACTGGAGCCCATGGACATCTACAACGTAAATGCGCCACCCACCTTGAGATATACGTTCTAAGATCTCAGTATAGTTACAACGGCTGCCCCACCCTTCAAACCGAAACGCATTACTGCTTCACGGCAGTAATAGGCAGGGTGATGGCACCTATGTGTGCGGACTCACAAGGCGTCCTACCACCAGTAACAAGACGTCCTAATACCAATCTGCAAATGCTTTGTCCTTAAGTAAAAAAATATTAATTTAATAGTTGGAGTTATCGATATCCACTTTTGTAACTGCATTGATTTATAACAATACGTTTAGTGAAGCAAGTTGATAAAATCATTATTTTTTCATCACAAACGCAATGCCGCTTTCAAGCCACGTCTACTGTCCCATCTAGATTCGCCAAAAACGCATTCTCCAGCGACCACATAATAGATAGGGAATCGCGTGATATAATAAAACGATCCTATAAAGCGCTGCACATCGTTGGCGCATCATTTGAAAACCATAAAAATCGGATTCATGAAATTTTTCGCAATAGCTGCATTGTGATCCCTGATTTTTATGGGCTTACTACTACGAAGCATTGATGTGTTCGATCTTACGTAATTGCGGCAGAAATAGATTTTGGGACAAATCAAATCTGTTTTCTTTTTTTTACCTATAGTGATAGACTTGAGAGGCAATTTCAGCTTCGCCTTGACGTGTAGGTGAGCTCACGGTGCTCAAACCGGGAGTGTTGTTAACACTGGGTTTAATAAGAGCAGTGCTTCGCAGAATCTACCACAGGATCGGAAACGCGACCCACTGAGAAGATCCGGCAAGAAACTCAGTGGGCTGTGTCTATGGGTTAGTTCGCTCGTCGAGCCCTTCGTCACAAGCTACGGGGACGGTGACCGGTGCTTGTGGTACCTAAAAACACCGTTAATGGATCGGGTGGATCCGTTATGACGTGTAACCCTGTTTCATAGACACTTATCTCTTTCCAATTACCCTCTTATGGAGGTGTAGGACTCGAATCAAATTCTTCCATTTGCATCGTTCTTGGTTCATAGACATTGGTTCTTATCGTATTTCTACATTAAACATTCATTTCATAACAGTAAAACCTATTAATTAAATGTATTTTATGATAACAGTTACGACTTTAGGACTATTAAATTCTTAATTCACATTTTTATGTTTACAGTTATTAAGCAAAAAAATTAAACGTTATAAGCTTTTATAAGTTACGAACTTTAAGCTTTCTATGTTAATTACACGACCGGAAGATATGTAATTAGAATTATTAATGAATTAACTTTTCTTGTAGTATCTTTGCCGTGGCGGCTTAGATTTTAAATTGTCCATGTTTTTGACGATGATCTCTTACCATCAAGTGGGAGGAGCGTTACATGCTACAGATCCTTTCGAGTCCGTAAAAAGCATACCACCTTTATTCTTGTCTTAATGTGACCTAACAAGCTATCTGGGGTTTTACGATTACTTGAGTTCATAGACCTCAATATGATAGTGCTGTCATTAATTATGGCGCATTTGTCTCATTAGTCTCACGACATCGGCATTCAGATCGGTACTAAATACGGTACGGCCTGCATCGCGTGAAACACCCAATCGCTGTCAAAAGAGTATATTATAGTGCACAATTTTATTATCCAAGCTGATTGTTGTTACATTATGCAATTATATATATTTATTATATTTGTACACACAGCTGTTAGAAGAAACACGACAATACGAATACAGAGTACAAGGGCACTACTTATTTCATGTTGAAATCTCTTCCAGTAGGCCCGCAGAAGGAAAGAAGAATTAGGAACACAAACCTAGTGCATACAGTAAACATTACATATAATAATATATACATATTACAAGATACATTATATATTATAATAAATTATACAAATAAAAACTTACGTTATGCAACTTATCCCATTTAGTATTTATTAAGCGACGATGGTTTAAGCTTTGATGTGTGATTAGATTTAATAGAATGAGGAGAAAACGCGCTGTGAATCCCATGGAGTGGTGCGACTCGGCTAGAATTACTTAGGGTTATTTAGGCACCAGTAAGAGATAGGTAATATATGTAGTATCAACCTACCGTATCCTACCTATTTCTGCCACAAGTGCGCTTCGGCTTGAAAGGTAGGCACATGTCAGGTATTATTAGGTCTATGAAATTGTCGTTTAGTATACAGAAAATTACCCACTGAGTTTCTCGCCGGATATTCTCAGTGGGTCGCGATTCTGATCCGTGGTAGATGCAGCGAAGCACTGCTCTTGCCAGTGTTAGCAACTATCTCAGATCGAGCCCGTGAGCTTTACTATTCGGAGTGTAGCTGGAATAGCCCTTTAGATGACCAGCGTTTAGGTAAGGAAAAGTTGATAGTATTATTTTAATTGGTATTAAGTGGCAAATTTATTTTTATTTATTTACTAGCTGACCCGGCAGATTTTGTAATTAGATGTATGATGTAAAAATGTAGATTTTGTAGTTTGAGAAATAAAAAATCTAAACTTGCGTATAAAATAAACTTAAAACAAACAAAAGGAATCCGTCCGATGGGGGACACAACAAAATTGTCATTTTTATTTAATTCCGAGCATTTTTATATTTGTCTACCTTTCAAACCTTCTCTGGACTTCCACAAATAATTCAAGACCAAAATTAGCCAAATCGGTCCAGCCGTTCTCGAGTTTTAGCGAGACTAACGAACAGATAAAGATTACACTTCATGTAAAATTTACATTGGCGGACTTAATGCCTAAGGGATTCTCTACCAGTCAAACAAAAGTAGTGCAGAGCGAATAGTGGTAGGTGCAATGAAATTTATATTAAGCTACAAATACATATACAAAAAAGTATATAAAAAGTACATATACTTAAGTAAGTATACACACACACACAATCACGTATACATACATACATATAATAGCTTATACAGTATTTATAAGCCAGCGTCAAAACAAATTAAACGAATTTGCTTAAATCTGATTGCGAATTCGCGAAACAATATAGGCTACGGTCTATTCCACCGGCACCCATTACGTGCTGGGAGATCGAACCGGCGGTCTATACGTTTTGATGTTAAATTAACTCTGCGGCCCCCATAAGACGGTCCCGAATGACTCGTACTGCTTGATGTATGTATACCCTGGCCTTTTTTTTTATCAATTTCAGATCTTTTCCTCACGAGGCATATTTGTGTGTACGACTTTAGACTGGAGTGGATTCCGTTTTGTTCATTGTGGAACAGTAACGATGGTGTTACACATTAAGGAACCAAGAATTATGAAAACGTGTTTTATTTCTATAAACGATTCAAATTCAAATTCAAAATCATTTATTTCAACTTAGATGTCAGTATAACACACTTGTTGAATGTCAAAATAAAAATAACAATGTTAACTCTACCACCGGTTCCAAAAAAGCCACAGTCCTGAGAAGAACCGGCGAAACAAACTCAGCGGGCTTTTTTTTTTGTTTTTTCTCAAATATATACATTTTTTAAATAATTAAGTTTTTTTACAAAAATAGAAAAAAAAACAAGTCAAAAAATACAATAAAAATAATAATATTAATAAAAATGAAAAGTTAATAATACATAATAGTTCGATAATACACAGTTCGTCTATACAAATATTATAAAGAGGAAAGATTTGTTTGTTTGTTTGTTTCGAATAGGCTCCGAAACTACTGGACCGATTTCAAAAACTCTTTTTCCATTAGAAGCCGACATTGTCCCTGATGAACATAGGCTACTTTTTAAAAAAAAAAATTATTTTATTTTTTTGGTTTCATGTGTGTTTTAATGTTTCCGAAGCGAAGCGAGGGCGGGTCGCTAGTTAGTTATACACTAAAACCAAAGGGCCTTTTCATTTCGTTTCAGTCATTATTTTGATAAAACGATTCTGAGCGGATGTTTCTTTTGTTGTTTTCCGGCGTAGATAACAATGTGGAAAATTCTTAGCTCGGGATTTTGTAAATCGACACGATTATTATTTGCTATATCTATATATTAATACGTGAAGCAAAAACTTTGTATCCCTATTTACGAAAATT